ATGTGTATGATGTTTTTAAAGCAAATACAAAGCATGCCTTTCATTTTCTCTATCAATGATCTTTATGATTTGTTAAATGTTTGCAAAAACACACATTCCATCAAACTGAATGATCAAGTGCTGAAATGTGCTCCAGTGTTATGTACCGCATCAGATCAAACTTTAACTCTTAAGGATACTACAAGCTGCTCAGAATTTGGATAACAAGTGTAGAAAGATGATAAGAACATATCAGTGTTGTGTTGTCTCACAGCCAGTCAGGCAGCAGCGCAGGCGAGGGGCAGTGCAGGTCAGCACTCTGCTGCAGCAGCCACCAGCATCACCGGGATGAGCCTGCAAGAGGCGCAGCAAATCCTGAATATCTCTACACTCACCCCCGAGGAGATTCAGACGGTACAACACAACTCACACACTACTTTTCAGTTTTCTCACAAACACATTTTTGATACTGAGCTGTAGAGTCATTAAGCTTTTTTAATATGTAGTATTTACCATGTCATTATAGATTTTACCATTCATATATAAATCTGTTTCATGTTTACGTTAATTCCATGTTTCTTCATCAGCCTAAACTCTTAAAAACCTAGCTGTAGGGGAAACCGTTTTAAACAGTAATTAATCAGCTTCTTAATAATATGATTGAAAAGTTTTTGCCAACTCAAAAACCTACTTTTCTTCCCTCCTTTGGACTTAAAAGGTGGCCTGGTTGTTAAATATTGTTACCGTTTGTTACTCCTTACAAACTGATGGCTAAACACAGATTATTTGCTAAAGAAATGCAAAGTAGGTTTAGATACACAAGATTTAAAGGGGACCTATTTATTTTAGACGGTATCTGCCGGGTCCCACATGAGCAGGCATAAGCTCCGCCCCCTCTTCTTTCTTTTTTTGTAAAGCTTTATACCCCGAATGAGCACTTTAGTAACAGGAAGTGAAATAGAGGGATATGAGGCATGGCTAGAATGGGTGATCTGTTTGGTATTTTGAGCAAAACACTTGATAGACATGTTTTTTATATATCTGAGTCCTATGCTGTTGACTGAAATATGCATGATAGGTGACCTTTAAACTGGCAATATTTTGTTTAAGTTACTGTCTATTGTGAAATAGTGTGACATGATGGTGAATAAGCCTTTGGCCCATTGATTAAAGTAAAGCATACTTATCTATCTGCAGTATCATGAACTGGCGGTCTGTGGCCACGCTTCCGCCTGTAATAAGTTGTGGACCGTCCACTTTACATTAAAAGCATTGCATTGTTTACTTCTGTATTGAAGTATCCCAAGGCAATGCAATGTGTTTGTCCGCTGGCTTGACACTGACTAAAAAATGCGTCGCGGTTGTTTTCGGCATTTTTGACAGCGGATCAGTTTGAAATACTGCAGGGAGTAATGGAAGGAGAGAAAGCAGCAATAGTGAGCTGTTAGATGAAGAGCACACCTCCTCAGACAGGTAAACAAATACCAAAACTTTGGCAGACTCATGCTCTCTGCAGCATCATCACAAGGGGTGATTGAAAGAGTATATTGCCAGACTTCTTTATTTAAACAACAATGAATGGTTTTGTTGGCCAGAGCTTTCTAGGCCTATAGTATCAAGGCCATATTTCCATTTGCCACCATTTTAAATAGGGGGTCACCAAACCAACCAGGACTGAAATCTTAAAGATTGCCACTTTTTCATAAGAAACTCTGTTAAACATGGTTTACTTAGTTAGTTATATGGCTATTATCATCATATTTATATACCTTCTGCTGTAACAATGATCTGAAAAAATGTGTCGATTAATGTTTTTGCACTCTTTTTTTTAACAAAAATATGTATTTCTTCCAGAATTATGATCACCTTTTTAAAGTCAACGACAAGACAGTGGGCGGTTCATTTTATCTACAATCAAAAGTAAGTATTCTCCATCTCAGCATGCTACACAAATGTTCTCAAATGTGTTGTAGAGTGGACGCCAAAATATAAAACAAGCACAATGACATAAAAAACTAATTGCACACTTTAGTTTTGGGAAGCAGAACAGTTGGTCATGATAAACGAGGCTTTCTCTTGTCCTGGCATTAAACAAATCACTCAGTTTTGCCCTGTTTATTTTGTAGCCCATGCAAACTAACATGTTTCCCTCTAAACCTGCAGTCCAGGTGGCCTAACCATGATAAGAAGTTGAATATTGGCCTTCTCTGTGACAGTTTCGTACGATACTTTTAGGATTTACTGACTCCCTCTAAAGCTCTTGTGTTCATATTTCTTAATAACATGGCTTTAGTCATTTTAGTGTGTAAAAGATTATACGAAGATAGATGAAAACTGTTTTGAAGTTCTTTAAAGGGGACCTATCATGCAACATGGACTTTTTCATGTCTTTTATACATAAATATCTGTCCGTGGTATGTCAGGAACTCACGAAGTGTCAGAAAACAAAACCCTCTCTCTTTTCCTCCGTACCCAAATCTCTAAAAACGGGGGTTCAATTGAGCCGATCCAAATTTGCGTCCGATATGACGTAATATCGGAAATGTGGGCTGGCTTTACACCAGAGGTGCCCAGTACCTCCACCGCGGTCGACCACAGGCAATGCTGGTAGATCGCGAGTCATTCATAAATTTAAAAAAAATCCAGCCCCGTTAAAATAGACAAAACAGGTTTTGATCCCTCCTCCCTTGGTCTCTCTGCCACTTAATTCAGGAGTTTACTTGATTGACAGAAAAAGCGACCTATCGCTTTCCAGTCTGTTAACCCAGAATGCAAAGCGATACAAAATCAGTCAAGTGCCGGGAAAACTCAAATTAAGTTAAAGAGACAAACAACAAAATGATTGCGGGACCGAGCAAGAAGCTAAAGACAAACCACTTCCACACAGAATGGGAGGAAGAATATTTTGTTGTGATGTCACATTCAAAGGTTATTTGCCTTATTTGTAAAGCAAGCGTCGCTCTGCCAAAGAAAGGTAACGTGGAGAGGCATTATCGGAGTGTTCACAAGGCATATGGCAGCGACTTCCCTCCGAGTAGCGAGTTTAGAAAGAGAAAGGTAATGTATTATTACAACACAAACATTATCTTGCAGTCTTAGTGTCGCCAACTCGTTTCTAATATACAAAAAGACAAAAAAAATGCGTCTATGGTCGGTGTATTTTTGATCTTTCCAATCGAGACGAGATCTCTCTCTCCCGTCTGTGTGCGAGGGGGCGGGGCAGTTTACACACACGCAGCTGCTACAAGCAGCAACACACGGCGGGGATGGCGGAGAGAAGCGCTCCAAGGTGTGGTTAAATGTTACCCGTCTTGAGGTGGACAATGCTCGTTGCCACGAGCAATGTGTCTAAACATTTAGCAAAAGTGCTCCACATTCAGACGGAGGAATGCACCGGGTTCGACTGTCTTTCTAGTAGCGCTGTAGCCCCATCCACGAGTAACGTTTCCACGTCAGGTATTATGTATGCTGGCAGCAACAGAGTTAACTCAATTATACAAACATGGGTTAATGATTAGAGGAAACTGAGTTATTTATTTTGTTAAAGTTTCAGCTATTCTGTTTACAGTTTTGTCATCAGATTATTTAATACCATTTGTTAAAACATTGTTTCTTTTGATGTGAAATATTATTTATTTAATTTAAATAAAAAGCAATGTTAATTTTGTTCACAATTTGTTAAGTTAATTTAATAATGTATGTATTTTTGAATCAAGTATTCATCTTTATTGTCTTCATTGTTAGTTTCCACATGCCTAAAACAACCTCAAGCTAAATCTAAAAGTTGATGGCTAAATAAGAGCGTTTGAGAAATTGTGCAAGGCATACAGTAATAGTCCGAATAGTGGATTAATCGTTTCATTAATCGATAGATTAATTGATTATCAAATTAGTCGTTTGTTGCAGCCCTATTGTAGTTATCCCATGTATAAATAAAACGTGTTAATCAGCAACCCTTGCAATTTGGGATTTTATTTTTGGTTGGTAGACCTCGGTGAGCTGGTCATTTCAAAAGTAGCTCACCAGCCAAAAAAGTGTGGGCACCCCTGCTTTACACCCACAGCCCTATCAGAAACGTTGCTATCAGAAACAATGCCTGACGTGTTTTGGACGTAATATGGTCTTTGTTTACATTAGCAATCATCGCTAACACTCAGAGCTAAGCTGTACTGGAGAGAGCATGTGTAAAAAAGCAGGAAATAATAAAAGGAACTCATCTTGTGGTAAACCCGCAAGAGAAAAATAATGTTTGGAACATGATATGGCGTTTAATCACAGCAGCATTTAGCGTAGAATTCTGAGCAGGCACAAGCTCCCCCTCCTATTTTTTTTTTTTTTCAAGCTAAGGACCCCGAAACCTGCAGTTCTCTATCAGGCCTGAAATAGAGGGATATGAGGGATGTCTAAAATGCATGATCTGTTTGGTATTTTGAGAAAAACACATCATAGACATGTTTTTAATATATTTGTATCTGAGACCCATAATATATGCCTAAAAATAGCATGATAGGAGACCTTTAAATGCAATGATCACCTTTCTTCCTGTCTAATTGTCTTCTCTTTGACTTGTTTGTGCAGGTGGTGCGGGCTAAAGAGCGTCTAGACGAGGAAGTTAGTATTCAGACAGAACAACCGAATCAGAAATCACAGTAGAATACGGAAACATGAAGAGTCAAATTGTGCTTAACCTTTCTTTCCCTTCCCCATCCTCTGTACATTATAACCAAATAAAAGCCTTCCTCTTTTTCTGTAGTCTTGACTTTGTCCCATTTTTTTTGAGCAATGGAACAAAAGAACACATTTATTTATGTCACAGTTTAATCTAGTGTGGATCTTACATGGTAAATACGTTGATTTAAAACTGCAGCTTGTTGACTTTTAATCAGAGTAATTTGTATGTGTGATTACAGAATCAAGTTTGCACATATCGGTCTCAAAAGGACAATCACATTTACCTGGACTATTTTTATGTCGTAATGCGTCATTTTTTTGTATATTTGGAACAGAAATGAATACACAACTTGTATCAAATACAACTTTATTAAACATTTTCTTTTCATTGACATTATTATCAATATCGTAATAAAATTCCTCTAAAACAGGAGAACACTGCTATGTTGTACCAATTGGAGACTTTTACAACTCTAAAATTCTTCATGTTCAACCACAGAACATGATGCCAGGAAAATATATATTTTCATATAATCATTTTTCATATAGTGTATAACTTCTATATCTTACCTATAATAAAAAGGCACTTGGAAAAATTAAAATACTGACATATCTCACAAATGTGCAAAAAACATAACTTGGAACAGGCCTTGCGTGGCCTTAGTCTTATCATTAACCCTTTGTGCAACTCTGTGGCACTTCAGTCAATGGCACTCCTTTACAATGACACTGAATCAGCTAGCTAACGCAAATTGTGTGCCCTGGATTTCCCTTCCACTCTTGATAGCAGTAAGTGAGGGTTACTTTAAAATCTCCAGGGGTGAGTACCACTTTTATACCATGAACAAAAAAAATACATCAAATTCAGACATAGTGACAACTGTGGATGATTTTTACAATTATTCTTGGTTTCCAAAAGAATAATGAATTACGCTGTACACTGAGAAAGGATGTAACAACATCCCCATCTTTACAAATGAGGGGAACAAAAGTGCAGTTCATACAGACTGAGCTCAAAGGGTTAATGGATCATACAGCTTATTTGATATTGAAAAAAATGTGGACCCTGAAAGGATCCGTGTCAAATTATTCAGCTTTCTGCCGCCTCTTTCTCTCTGTCCCCGGCTTCGACCTGCAGAGGAGAGACAGACAGGGAGGAGGAGAGCCGCCGCATCTGTGGGTTTCACTGTTGCCACGGAAACCATGTCTAGCCTACTTAACACCTGTTTCTGATGACATCACATGACAGGATTGTCCACTCGCAACGAGAGATTCACTTCAGTGCCCAGCCTGAAGCCAGAGACAGGCTGTGTGTGTGTGATAGAGTGGAGGGGCTGTCTGAGATAAAGATGACTAAGAATTACTGAGGCAGAAACATAGGTATGTTTGTGAATCCGTGCAGGCCTGTGGGAGGGTCAACACAGAGCTTGTCCTCAGATAGCGAGGGGTTATATTTGTTTTTGTTTACTGTGAATGCAGCTTGTTAGTCTGCCTGTTTTCCTCATCTCTGCTAAAATGCTTTGTGGCCAGGAGGTGGGGGAGTTGAGTGTTTGGGTTTTAATCTATAAAAAAAGAAAAAACCCAGAGGGCAGAAAGAGTTCAGTGGCCTAGTGTTCTACGGGCTGGTATGCCTGTGAGTCTCTGCCACATTGGGCACAGCACAGCCAGTGACTTCAGAGCTGAGAGGGCCGTTTGCTTGCTAGGTGGCCAGATGGAGGGCGGCTGCACAGCAAAGTATCCTCTGCCTCTTTTCCTCCGCTGGCACTCAGTCCCTTCCCTCATCTCTCGCTTTCCCTTGTCCATTCATTCAGCCAATCCTGTCTCTCTTTGCTCTCACGCTTTCCCAGCACTGCCCGCCATTTCGCTGTTGGATGTTAATTCTCTATGGTTTCCTTTTATCTAACAGTGGAAAATTAAAAGTCAGAACAAAGGAAGCATGGTTATCTAATTCAGCCCAGCAGATAATGTTGTTAGGACACTTCATACAGACATATATTTGGTCCCTATCTAAGTAATCTAAGTCATCCCCTGTACTCTAATGTGATTGTCATGGAGGAATGTGGTATTATTTGGTCTACTATATTTTACCCCTAGAGCAGTGGTTTCCAAACTTTTTGGCTTGTGATTCCTTAAAACATAGGAACACTATTTGGATGTATGGCTTCTAATAATGGCCTCAGTTTGGATATGGTTGTGAGTTATTTTCTCTATTTCACATTTGTTGTTATCTTCCCTGAATAGCAAGCCATGATTAGTATTTCACAGGAAACGAGACTAACAGTTACTACTAAAGCCATGCCAGCAGATAGCTCTGTGCAGCCGTATGCCTCGAGCCATTAATACTATAATCGCCAATGTAACACGCTAACAATGACAATGTGCAAGGAATACTGTACAGAACTGCATGGCAATCCATCCCATACTTGTTGAGATTTTTCGTTCTGGGCCGTAGAGTTGGATTGGCCCTCCATGCCATCCAAAGAGCAACATTGCTAGCGTAGTTAAAAAGCAAAAATGACCTCTTCCTTATATCAATGTGGTCATCATCTGATCCAGATTGATCCTAAATCCCTCCGGATTGGTAACCACTGTTCTAGAAGAAATCCCTAACCTCTCCTCATGTCCTCTCCTCCACCCTTCAAAAACACTTGGCAGCAGAAAGCTGAGCGCAGAGCAGCTGTCACACAACACAAGAAGCAAGTTCAACATCAGAAAAAAATGTCTCGTCGGAACATAACCAAACAAAAAGTGTAGAATGACAACAATGTAAAACAGCAATAACGGATTACTTGTAGGAATAGGCGATCGAAAAGTAAAACCACCAACATAAGCAGTGATGGAGACGGGGAAGGAGAGAGGAGGGTGTGACAGTCTCTTGAGGGAATGTTCCTTGTGTTGTGATGATCCTCTCCTGCTTCCCTACCTCCACCCTGTGGATTCCACATCCTACATGCATAAACACTGAGGATCCAAAGCCTGGAAAGACTCCACAGCAGAATTTACCCTTGTAGACTAATTGAAAAAGAGCAAACTAGCTTTTAAAGAACCATGAATTGGCAGTAACATTTCATAAACAGGTAAGGAATATTGTGTGTGGTAAGTGCGTGTTGACTGCTTAATCGAACCATGAGAAAAGTTTTTCCCAAACATCGAATTAGTCTTCTTTTTATGCCGCTTTGGGCAGAGTATATGAGGCAGTTTGCAATAGTGTGGCTTCCTAGTCAGTCAAGCTGTATGTGGCATTGAGTGCATCACACCCCCTTCTCTGGCACAATACGTAAAATCCCTTTCCCCCTCTCCAGGTATTTTTGGCACAGCATCGGACTTGTTGAACTTCTGACAAAACGTCAACCAACAAGTTGGGCTTTTAAATTGGCAACCACCTGTTTTTCACAGCTGGTTTTAGGTCGAGTCACTTTTAAGCAAAACAAGACACTAGTGTTTATCGCCACACTGGCCCTTTCATACACAATCTGGCCGTGTTGATTCAATTACGGGAAAGCAGCTGGACAATCCAGAAGTAAAAACAGGAATAGCTCTGTAAATGGAAAGCGGGATGTTGCGTATCGTGTCCTACCAGAAGGAGGAGCCAGACACACCAGTGTCTTGAATTTCACTTGGTCATTGTCAGGTGATGCAACACCATTTGTCTGTGTTAAGTCCTCTGTGGCTCTATGTCGTAGAAGCCCCTAGTCGGTACACCTGGACTAGGCTGGTCCATGTTGGTCACCCTCCCCAAACTGGGGATAGATTGTCATTAGTGCTCTCTCCCAGTATATGTTACACTGGAGGAGCTGAAAGCTTAGCAGCAGATTTGAGGTTTCAATACTATTACCAGGTGACACTATTAAGTGCTGTCTTTAATTGAGCTGAAACTACAAATCCAAGACTGTTTGAGTTCACTTGCTTTGGTTTGGCAAGCCTGTCTGAATCATATTAATCACAGCAAGCCTGTCTGAATCATATTAATCACAGCAAGCCTGTGAAAAATAGGTCAATACTTAAAAATCAACTGTGAAGAATCGTCCTAAGTGCACGTTTATCTAACTGTGAGTGCATCATTCAGTTTTATGGTGTATCCATCTTACTGCTAGACTGGAGGCACACTGTCGATCAAGTACAGCCATATAAATACATATGAATGAATCAGGACCTTTTTAAGAACACAGAGCACTAAGACTGTCACGTTCAGGAAATAGGAATGCAGAAAGTATAAAATAAGAGGGCTAAGAGGAGCCCATTGTCAGGCCTTGTGATAGAAATACAGAGCCATACATGTTCCTGAACAGAGTTCTTGGGCCCCAAGTTTATTTTCCCATCAAAACAAGAGGCTTGCGTTGTATACTTGTTATTTATGAGGTGCAGTGTTATGTTCTGCTGATTGAGGATTTGATGAGTATCTCTATAGCTTTCTCCTCTTCCAACCTCACTGAAATGCATTGGATATGATTGTGCAAGCCAATCCCTGTCACCTTTGACCGCCTGTACCCTCACTGTGGCGTTCACCCTCCCATCCCACCCCCCTGAGCTCTTCTGGAATGTGTGTGTGCGTGTGTGTATCAGTTGACCACAGCTGGCTTCAGCACCACGGTGCCTGGGGGGATGACCACCCAGGACAGAGGATCATGGGATCCCGTGGAGAGGTTGAGGACCCCACCAGTCACCTCGTTCTCAGCCTCCTCCCCCCGTCCTCTCTTGGCCTGTTGGCTCAGGACCCTTCGCTCAGACGAGGCCCCCAGCATTGGCATCATAGACAAGCCCAGGGACGAAGAGGAGAACGCTGTGGAGAGCAGATGAGATTTGCTGAGGCCCAGATGGGAGCCGTTGAACAGAATGGAGGTGCCTGGAGAGGAGCCGGGGCAGCCCAGTGCGCTAAGGTCCAGGGGCCGAGAACTGAGGGAGGACATGGCTAGCCCCCCCCCCAGACCCTGCAGAGCATGGCCTCCCAGGAAAGCAGCCGCTGCCCCTGGGATGATAATGTGGGCTGCACTCACAAAAGACAGCTCGGAATCCCTCCGCCCTTCGCCAGAAAGCACTCTACTTTGACTCCCCCTCAGCAGGGAGCCCACCCCACCTGGGGAGCCCTGGTCCTGGGCTACATAATGACCATGGGCCTTGATGTGCTTGCGGAGTGAGCTGGGGTCTGTGTAGCGCTTCAGGCAGCCCACCATCTTGCAGTAGTAGGGCTTGTCCACATAGTGTGTGCGTGTGTGCTTGAAGCGGTCGCTGGAGTTGGAGTAGCGCTTGTTGCAACCCTCATAAGGACAGATGTAGGGTTTTTCACCTGTAGGGGTGGGGGGAATGATTCAGATGTTGAGAATTCATAAATTCATTCTTTCACTTTTACTCTACAAAATATAAGTGGCAAAAGATAACTTTTTCCTTTGATTTATCATTATAAAGTGAATGTTATTGCACAATATAATGGTAAACTGTGGAAACTCTACCTGGCAAAAGAGCCCAGGTGAGTAGGAGGCAAAGAACGTGAAGAAGTAGAATGGGAAAAAACAAGTTATTTATACTGATCTAGATCAGTTAGTAAAAAACCTGCTTATTATGAATATTGCTTCTCTATCAAAACACTGAAATGTGGTTTTCTAGTTCAAATTTGGTTCTTTAAGTTTCTTGCTTCCTTTTGTTTCTTGCGGACAGAAAACATGATATGTAAATTACTCCACTGTGAAGTTTGTAAACAAATGCAGTGATGATGGTAGCTTTGAAGCAAAACAGAAAGCAAAACAAATATGTCATTAAGATAGTGGCATCAAAAAAATACCACTAGGACTTATCTGTTGCCGCTTTAGGAAAACATATTGATTTTGGCTTTGACTTATTGTGTGTGTGCGGCTCTACCACTGACCTGTGTGTGACCGATTGTGTATCTTGAGGTTCTCCAGGCGGGAGAAGCTCTTGTTGCAGGTGGGACAGCGATGGGGCTTCTCATTAGTGTGTGTGCGGATGTGGATGAGCATCTTGTACCTGCAGCAACACAAAAATAAATGTCTTGAAATATTGAAATCTTCATTGATAATAAATGACCCAAGTGTCTGATTTCCTCACCGTGCATTGAAACCCCTCCCTTTGCGAGCACAGCCCTCCCAGTGGCAGCAGTATCCAGAATCCTTCTCGGGCTTGACATGGAAGTCGTTTACATGGTCAACCAGGTCTTGCAGGGAGTCGAAGAGCAGATGGCACTAGAGAAGTAAAAACATTTCAATGGAATTGTTATGATAAAGGGATATTGGGCTGACTATGAATGGGTTTTCTTCTTCTTTCTCGATCTTACCTTCTTCCAGTGGCAGGCCAGTTGTTCATCTGCTGAGAGGTCAGGAGACGCTCTCTTGTCGTTTGTCTGGCTGATAAACATGGAGGACGGCAGGTGAAGTCCCCCCCCAGCTCCAATTGGCATGAAAAACTGAAAGGCCTGTGACATGTGAGAATTCTAGTAAACAAACAGAAAAAGTTTAGCTTTAGTTAAAAAAAAAAAATGGGTAATATACAAGTAGAATACAACCTCACGATGCTCACAATCATAACTCTAAAGGTAAACATCTCCTGTTTAGTCGGCTGTGTGAGCTCTGATGCGGACTGTCTACATTGCATCTCATCTTTTCACTCAAATGTTCACTCTGGTAGTCACCCGCTGCGTTTTAAAAGACCCCCCTACAACCCTGAGCTCTGCAGGAGAGCAGCTAAATGCACTGAGCCTCTGCTGGGGCTCAAAACGCTAATGCACCCGCACACGCACACACACACACTCACACTCACACTGAGTAATTAGGCTCAAGAAAACAGAGTCTTAAAAAGGGACATTTTGAATACCGGACACATGAGTCCAAGAGTAGGGGAAGCATAGAGAGAATAAGGGTGCAAATGGATCACAATCCTGTGGTTGTCTAATCGTATCTTATCTTCAGCTATGTCAGAAATGCGTATGTGACACATTTCATAAAATGAGGCAAATTCCCTGCTCTGAGCTCTGCCTCTGCATGCAAAACTATGTGCGCTGCTTTGTGAGATGCTGTAGGGGAGAGAACATGTGAGTATGAGTCTGTGCAGCTGTTCATCTGTAAGAAGCCTGTATGAGAGAGTAAGGAGGGACGGAAAGCATCCTATAATGTCCCCTGGAGATAAGTAAAGCATGCAGTTGTTTAACAGTGGGGTAGGGGGAGTTTATAGGACTCAGGGGGACGTGCGTCGGCAGAATGGTCCCAGCCAGCTCATCTCAACTCAATTGGGAGGGAATTGAATTAGGTGGCGTGAGGTCTGCATGGCTGTACCTTCTCTTAAATTGGATTATAAACACACACACACACAGGCACTAACATGTCATGCCAGTAGGGCCATTGAGTGCAAGTTGAGGTACTTGTTAGGGACACAAGAGGTGTTTGAGCTTCTTCTCCCTTCTCTCTCACATGCACACACACACACATGCACACTCATTGTCACACAGGCCTCCCACCCCTTGCATAGCCTTATTCCTTTATTGAGAGAGTGTGACACAACCCAATGTTGTTCCTGACTTGCTGACCCCAACAGGCTGAGTCACTCTCTGCTGTAGACAGGGAAGTGTTAGCCGTTCACTACTGCATTGAAAGACGATGTTTATTATTTCAGAGGTGAGCAAAGACCAGGGAAACAATGGACGTAGTGGAGGGCAGAATTAAAGCTGGTCAGGGCTTAAGGGGTTTCATAGGTCTGTGTGTGTTTGTCTTTAAGTTTCAGACTCACCCCTGAGGGGAAGTAGTTGCCGTTGGTCATTTCTGGAGAGCTGGGGGTGTGGCGGCAAGAGGGCGACATGCTCAGGTCCACAGCAGGGGGGGTGGGGGTGTCTGTCCGATCATGAGGGACCACCTGCACACCTGAAAAATAAACACACACCTGTTAAGATAACCTTTCACCTGGGGGATCTGGTATGGGGACTCTTTGCAGGATGCATCCGCTTTGGCTGTTAGATGAATTGTACATTTTTGTACAGATATTCATAGTCCTCAGAGGATGAATCTGAGTTACTTCAGTGATCCTGTGACTTTCCCATAAACATGAGGTTGACATTTCTGGGTTTTTTTGTACAATTTAGTGTGTTATGCGTTGTTGAGTTGTTACCGACCTGAGTGTGGAGATCCTGGTGAAGCAGGCTCTATGACTGCGGTTCCATCATCTGCCATGCGGAGCTGACGAGCTCTCTTGGGGTGCAGCAGAGAGTGGGGTGGTGAACGGGCCCCTCTGTCCCGCCCATTTATCCGCCGAGGGAGCTTCAGGTCCAGGGGCTCATCCAGGGACAGCATGACCACAACCCGCTGACCTCCCACCTGCACAAACAGTCACACAGATGGGCAGCGTTAGGCCGAGTGGGGCCAATGAGGGACAGCTTGGTTTTCATATAGCCACACATACAATGAAATGCTGCATTCCGATGTGAAACAGTGACAGTCAGATTCCCCCACCTGCAATATTTCCCACGTGAATGTTGTTGAAAGCATCTCACATTCCACAAATTCTCTCCAACAATGGTAAACTGACCACAATCGTAAACTGAAACACTGAGTGAGCCCAAGAAAAATAAACACACACACATTGACATCCGAGAGACCCCCTCCTCTTCTTCCATGCTGACCTTTACTTGCGCACTCTTCCTGAGGAATTTCTACAATCCAATCCAGATGGTCACCCTCACCGCCAGCCCTGCTTAACCCCACCCCTTGGCCAGTCACCGGCCATTGCACCCTGTCACATTGCCCCCACTCAAGCCCCCACAGTGTGCACCTTAAGACCCCATGGACCTTTGAGACCCACCGGCAGCCCCCCGGGGCTACGAGTCCAGCTGGACCTCCTCCCTCCTCTAAACACACTGACCTCTGGACCCAGCCTGAGGGATGTGGGCAGGGCGCTCCATCTAGCTGTCATGTTGAGGTGAAGCTGTGTTCTTCCTCTCTCTGCCACTAGACTGAACCAGCATCCCCGTGTTGGGCCATGCAAGGAATTTATAAAACTCCTACTCGACCAAACACGTAGATGAACCCTATTAGTCAGGGCAGTTGAGGAGAGCTTATAATAATATATATTTTAATATATATATAATCGTCATTGTTGATAATTGGTTAAATATTTAAGTAGTTATTCATGAACACGTAGTACGGATTGGACTGTCAAAACAACACCATTACTATTTTATTTATTATACTATTTGAACCATTATCTGACATTTCTGAGATCAGTAATGACATAATAATCTAGAAAATGATTGGCAGATTAACTAATAAAGAAAACAATTGTTGGTTGCAGCAAGTCAATTGAAATCATATTTGAAGCAACAGAAACAATAATAAATGGTAATAATATACAGTAAAAGCTCTTAAAGAAATACAATTCTTTGAAAGACAGAGATTCCAGATCCTTTCAATTTAAACAAATGCTGACTGTTCCCTAATCCAGCATGTGCTGCTTAACACATACAGGCGGTGCTAGTGCAGTTCTGCTGGTTTAATGACGAGCTTTCCACAACAATGTGTTAGGGTTCACTGCTCCTTCTCACCAGGCTCACACACACACACACACACACACACACACACACACACACACACACACACACACACACACACACACACACACACACACACACACACACACACACACACACACACACACACACACACACACACACACACACACACACACACACACACACACACACACACACACACACACACACACACACAGTTGCAGGGTGTCCTATATTTCTGTTCAAATTCATGTAGAAGAGCTCCCTGTGTGCATGTTGAATGTAGACACACACATAGTCATACTTACAGAAGCACACACACACAAGTAATTAATCAAACTATAATTTCAACAAATTCCCCCCCTTCTTCCTCCCTCTCCCTCAAACACATGCCGACACACACTCACAGAAGCCACGGTTGGAGGTAGTGAATGGTGGGCTTTGAGAGCGACTGGCCAGGGGCCACATGAGAAGCTCTTGTGTCTGGGAGGCACGGAGAAGAGAGGTCACCAGGTTCACCAGCCCAACGAGGGACAGCCACAAGCTCACACACACACACACACACACACACACACACACACACACACACACACACACACACACACACACACACACACACACACGTACATGCACATACATCCAGAGGGGGTGTAAAGACTCATTCAGCCATAGATAAGAGGATGATGATACACACACGTACGGATGCAAACAGAAGAACATACTGTATGAACATTCACACAGAGGAGCATTATGCCATTATCAGTGAGATCTTTCTGCATACTGTATATATACAGTACTCATTCATGGTTCTCACATGCGTATCGATAAACATATTATCGTTTTTTTATCTTAATATAGACTGCACTTGCAAGCACATGATACCCGGTCCATCTTGATCTTGTCTTCAGGTTCAACAATTGAAAATGCTCTAAGTAGGGATATAAGTACAGAGAGGAGCATCGATTCAAGAGAAGGCAACAGGCTCTGCATGGGGGCCACTTTTACAAAATGACGAGACCTGGTATTAGGTTATAAAGAGAGAGACATTTTTTTATTATTTATTGAGAATTGACTTATTGTTTATATCATTTGACATTTAACTGTTACAGTAAGGACCAGATGCACTCCTGTCTAATAATGTCTCCATCATCCTTCTTTTACAAAATGTATCCATCATAACCCTGGCGCATGCTAAATGGATTGTTTCCATCAGTTAAACCCAGGTCAGTTGTGTAATGATAAAGGAATATTGTTGGCAGTTGCTCTAATGATCATTTTGACCATAGAAGTTTTTTGTGTGGGCAAATTCTGCCATTAGCTATGAGAATAAACATGTGAGGCTCTGTCAAAGCAGATATGAACCTCATTTAGTACAAGCTGCGGTTAATACCACATTGCTGTTTCTCTCTCTGGATTGGGTGGGTGTGACTAATTTACTGTAACTCCTACCACAAAGCCTGCCAAGACTTTTGGCTTTATTGTTTGGCTAAAGTAGCAGAACATCGTCTGTCATCCACTTTAATCGAGCAAAAGCCCTTACCCTGAGGCACGGACCGAGAGTCAGTTTAACCTTTCTATAAATCCTATCAGCTGCGGAGACAAACAGAAAGCTGGCTTCCATCAGTGATATAATCCTTACTATAAAATACAATAACAAACAGATATGGAAATGTTGGATCCATAGAACTAGGATATAAATTACTCTGGCACCTCAAATCATGTGATCGCACAGCTCTCACTGTGAAACGCTACAGGGGTCTGCACACACAAAAGCTCTTCTCAGGCAGCTGCTTCGCGTGCAAACCATTACTTAACCTCCATAATGGACTGTATAGACAATTTATTAACAATGTGTCCTTCCCCGAACATAATGAAAAGCAGTGTTGGTATGATTCAGAAGGAGAAATGACAATGCTGCCATGCTGTTCAATCCTTTTTCCTTTTAATTCCAAGTATGTGTGTGTCATGCGTGTTTCTGTCATGAGTATTCAATATTTCCATAATTTTACTAAATGAGCTTACATTATATTTCTACTAACTGCTCACTTTAACCTATTAAAAATGAAAAGATTCAATTAATCCATTAGCATATTTGACTGAAAATGTATCAGGAACTGTTTTTCTATGTAAAACCTTTTCAAGTAAAAATGCCTTTTTTTGTTATAGGACAATAAACTAAGTATTTTTGGGATTTGGACACACCTTAAGAAAATTAGTTCATTAAGAAAGTCATAAGATATCTACATTACCCGCAGGCCATACCACACTTATGTTCTCCCAGTGAAGTTGGGCCAGTGCAGCTTCTGGTGAATCAGTCCCCACTGCCGTACCCCCCACCCCCCTTCCTAATTTTTTAGTGGAGAAAATGTAGACTGGCTGGGAAGTGACTCACAGCATGTGGATCTTGGACTCTAGTTACGTGAGCCACAGTCACTGACGCTGGGGTTTGTGGGAAATGTGAGACAAAGAGAAAGGGCAACCAAGAGAAAGAATGATACAGTGAAGGCAGGAGTATGGCGTTAGCGTGATATGTGAGTGTGTGTGTAAAGCTCAGTGGCGGATGGCTGTGAAGTTTGTGAAAGGGGTGTTGGCTGGCCCCCATGCAGACTTCCTTGCTCAGCCGTGGGGTCGACAGTCTCTCTGAAAGGCGGCATTGTCCCTTCTCTGGGCCCTCTCTCTCTCGCAGAGTAAACACAGGCTACAGCAGAGCGAGGGGAGAGAAGGGATGACCAAAGGGGCCACAGCGAGGATATACAAGGGTGAGGATGAAGGGAGGAGGAAGTGGTGGAGGAAAAGGAGTCCTGAAAGAGAGGTTTGTGTGTGTCCTCTTTAGCAACCTCTGTCACCTATTCCCCTGCATAACCCCTTCCCACCCGACTCCCACATCCACCCACTGCATAAGGAAACCGCCCTTTGAAGAGGTGTGTGTGTTCGGGGGGTGAACATGGGTCGAGGTTGAAGGGTGTGGGAGTTAGCCAATGGGTGAGTTAGCACGTTGGGGCATCAGGTCAAAGGACGGCTATGTGTTTCAACACCTCAACGCTCCCAGGCTAGGCTCACATGGATCAGAGCTGACCTTTCACCCCTGCTGCGACCGATTGATCTTTAGCCTGATCTGAACAGGATCGCATATCGGCTCAGTCTGCTCCATCTGATGGTGCAGCATCGAGAGCCAACAAAAAGCATCAGAGAGCATAACCAGTATAAGATGATTATGTTACAGGGTATAAAATCATATAGTGTAATATTTTATTTCCTATAAAGGGTTTAAGAGAGTAGAGTGTGTGTGTGTGTGTGTGTGTGTGTGTGTGTGTGTGTGTGTGTGTGTGTGTGTGTGTGTGTGTGTGTGTGTGTGTGTGTGTGTGTGTGTGTGTGTGTGTGTGTGTGTGTGTGTGTGTGTGTGTGTGTGTGTGTGTGTGTGTGTGTGTGTGTGTGTGTGTGTGTGTGTGCGTGCGTACAATTTGTGTGACCCCCCTCTGAGATTGGCTGTAACTTAATCTGCCTCCTGCTGTGGCCCTGGGAGGTGGTCTGTAGGAGGTAAGCCATCTCTCCCTGAGGCTCTTTGCTCTCTTTTCATTTTCACACAAACACACACAGAACGCGAAGAGAGAGGAAAACCTGCTGGGAGCGTCCAACTACTTGTGTTACCGATGTAATTGTACGTGTGAAGGGCTTTAACATGTTTATATAAAACCCTTAATGACCATCCTACAGTTCAACTTAACTTGCAGAAAGTACCAGTTCCTGCATATCTTGCTGTAATTCAACTCAATAACCTCTTCAGGCTCTGGATATGTTGAAAATTAGTGA